AGAGAGGCAGAGAGGCAGAGAGGCAGAGAGGCAGAGAGGCAGAGAGGCAGAGAGGCAGAGAGGCAGAGAGGCAGAGAGGCAGAGAGGCAGAGAGGAGACACGAACGGTGGTGCTTGTGAATGCGGCGGCGGCGGGTGCAAAAGGCCTAACACGCACACAATCGTAGCTGAGTAGGGAGTCGAAGGGGAAGAGAGCAGACGGAAAGCAAACACGGCGATGAGTGAAGGAGGCGATGGGGTTCTCGGACAAAGCGAAGGTCACGGGAAAGACGGGGAAGGGAGCCTTTCAATCACTCACTACGGAGTACGGAGTACTCCACACCAAGTCACTCACTCACTCACTGACTGACCGTCAGTCTTGTCGGGTCTGACCCCGCCAGAGACGAGGCAGAAGCGAAGAGCCATGCGGAGCAGCAGACCAGGAGCAGCATTTGATCCGGTAAGTTGACTATTGGGAGCTTCGACCGTAGGAATGGGGACGATACAGCATGAGCTGCAGGAGTGATTGGTTGACTGTGGGGGAAAGTCAAAGAGAGAGAGTCCAGCCCAGAAGGCTAAGGCTGGAAGTCTGTTGCTGTTGGCGGCGGTTGTCTGAGGGGTGTTGTGTCGTCGTCTTTTTGTTGTCTATCTAATCTCGGGAAGAATCCCAGGAAAGGGGAAGTCAAGACCGGAGGGGCAGTGCAGTCGAGAAAGAAGTATGAAGAGGTTAAGATGTGACTCTGGATAAGTGAGGTCGAGTTGTTGATTGTTCCCTCACTCCGAGTCTCCTCCCTTTTCCACCAGTTGACGTCTCCAACCACGACGTCATTCCGCCAAACCAACCCAACAACACCGCCCAAGCATACGGAGTAAAACAGCTCTCCCTTTCATCAAACGAGAACAAGTACTGCACTGGGTGTGTACATACTACCTACTCACTCATCCTGCTCCTCGCCTCCAATCATTCCATTAGTTAAATCTAGTGAGACAAAAAACAGCCAACTCATCAACCAACCAACGCACCCATCCCTCCCCCCTGCTACGGTAGACTCCCTTTCGATCCATTGATGACGCCCGCCGCCCGGTGGCTGTCCGTGCACCTCCGACGAACGGTTCATCGACCAGTACGGCCATTCCTCCTCTCAGCGCCCAGAAAGATGTCCCTATCCAGCTTCACGATCCCTCGCGACCTCGACCTCGACCACGATCATCACGGCGCGTCACCGTCCTCCGAAACTGTCCCCGTCTCGTCGACAGCAGACCTGAGCCGCGATGCTCTGCTGCGCTTCCCCGCCTTTCGCATCTGGCTCAGCACCCTGCACTGGTCGTTGAGCCGGCAACACCAACAGCAACAGTCCCCCCACGAGTTCTCCCGAGACCCGTACGTCCTTCGCGGAATCGATATCCAGGCGGTCGACTATTTTGGCGGTGGGCGGTTGGGCTTTGTGAAGCTGAAAGCAGAGGTCTCGAATGGAAGCGGCGAGACACTCCCGGGCAGCGTCTTCCTACGCGGGGGCAGTGTGGGGATGCTGGTATGTTTTGCTTTTTACTCGCTTATCGTCTGCTTTTGTTTCTTCCGTCAAAATACCCGCATCTTAAAAAACATGAGGGAACTAATTCGCTATACGTCGGAAAACGAACTCATAGCTCATCCTCCAACCGGACGACGTCCCTCCATCCAATGAAGAAGAAAAACGCGTCGTCTTGACCATCCAGCCTCGAATCCCGGCGGGATCCCTGGCCTTCACGGAGATTCCCGCCGGCATGTTGGATGACAGTGGGTCTTTTGCGGGAGGCGCGGCCAAAGAGATCCAGGAGGAGACAGGGCTGACCATCCCGCAAGAGGAGCTGATCGATTTGACGGCCTTGGCCTTGGAGCCGGGCGCCGCCGGGTCAGAAGATGAGGAGAGGGGGGGAGAGTCGCTGCAGAAGGCCGTGTATCCTTCGGCGGGCGGCAGTGACGAGTTCATCCCTTTGTTTCTGTGCCAGAAGCGCATGCCGCGCGAGGAGATCGAGAGTCTGCAGGGTAGGCTGACCGGATTACGGCAGCACGGAGAGAAGATTACGCTGAAAGTGGTGCCATTAAAGGATCTATGGAAGGAAGGTGTGCGCGATGGGAAGACCCTTGCCGCATGGGCGCTGTACAGGGGACTCAAAGAGGAGGGGAAACTCTAGAAGTCTAGAACCACGGCAGCAGATGCCATCTCTCTCCGTGCTAAATCGGGGGAACCGTCATCTCGTTGACGCGCCCTCGAGGGCTTCGTAACTTCAGGCGTAGACCATCTGTAATCCGAAGCCTTTTTTCTTTACAACAACTACCTCAAAGCTTAAACCTCTTCGCAAGCTCGATCCCCTCCGCTATCGTGCCCACCCGGGCATCAATAGCATAACCCTCGCGCTCGAGCCTCTTCAGCTCCTCAAAGAGCGTCGACAAGGGCACCGTGAAGCACTCGATGAACTCATTATCCTCCAGCTCCGGCTTGGGGTTCTGATTCTCAGGCAAGGACATATCCACCCGGACATGGACCATGTTCAGGTTAGTATTGCAAAACCCGGGATCTAGTTTTCGGAAAGAAGAAATGTTTCAGCATCAGCCATTACCACCGCGAGAGCGCAGTTGCATTCCTTATTCTCAATGCCCGAATGAAACCCCCCTCCTCCGGGGGCAAAAAAACAAAGAGCAAAAACTCACCATTGAACATGACACTGCTCGTTTGCTCCGCCACACCCACATACCCCGTCTCCTCCTTGAGTTCCCGGACGGCGCACTCCTCCACCGTCTCACCTGCATCGATCAGTCCGGCTGGAACCTCGATGACGACTTTGTCGATCGGGGGCCGGTATTGCTTCTGCAGGAGCAGCTCTGGACCGGTCTCCTTGTTGAGGATGGTCACGATCCCAACGCCATCAATCTCACAGGTCTCCGGGCGAGTCTGGAACAACCCGTCAGCGATGTCGTATCCTCCTGGGGAGAAGAGGGTCTGGATGGAACTCACCGTTCTTTCGGAAGATTCCCAGGTGCGCTCGACGCCGTTGGGGTCGGAGTAGGTGGTTTTGACCAGTCGGGCCCATTTGGCTTCTGAGGGGTCCTACGGAGAGGTGATGCTATTTTTAGTGGGGGGAAGGCTGGGCTGGA